GTTTTTAATCTGATTAGTTTGTTTTATTCAATCAAGATTGCTTACCTGTTTGATTTTTTTTTTTTTTTTTTTTTTTTTTTAGTATGTCCTCCTTTTATTTATACATATTCATAACAGTGTTTACAGGACTCTGTAGCCTTGGATAGCAGCAATTTTGGAAGGACTCCAACTTCAAAACCATGGAGAATGCAACATGAATACCCATTATCTTAAGAAGTCATGGCATTTCACAAGAAAATGAATCTGGAAAACATAATGACCCTTGTTCTGAAAGGATACTGCATTTAAAAAAATGATTGTAATACCCAATGAGGATCAAACTTGAATTAAAGCAAATTAATCTCTACAGTGAGCTTCTTGACCACTATGCTACAGTAGCCTCCCTTGACTGTTATTTTAGTCTTTCTTTCTACCATCTTCCATTTATCATTAACTTTTTCTTATACTATCCAGATTTATAATTTACTATCTATTTACAATCTACTACAATTTTTTTTTATTATTTTTCCTTATTTTTAGAAGCAGTTATTACATTTATTTACATTTATTTTTTTGATGAAGCATTATCAAATTTAATGTTCTTTTATTGCAACTTCCTTGTTCTCTCAGTCTATGGTAGCAAATAATGCATATCAAAATAATAAAGCATTTCTGAAACCATGGACCTTACAGATTTTATAATAATAAAAAAAAATATATATTTAACAAGATGTATATATCAAAAAGCGATGTGAAAGAAAGCATGCATTTAAGTAAGAAAAGGTTGAAATAAACAAGAGTTGTCTCTCTATCTGTTATTTTAGTATTTCAAAGTTCACTGGAATAATGTTCATGAGTCTCTTATAATGACTGTTCTTAAAAGATTTGCCGTGTTAGAAAAGATTGTGAGTGTATACAAGGTATGTTCAGTATGTGAGTGGTGTGTGTGTGTGTGAGAAAGTTGGCACATGGTTTCAACTGTCGTGAATTTGTTTGGCAACTGAATTCTCACTACTTAGCTAAGAAAAATTCTTGCTTAAATAAGTGACGATAGGCTCCAGATCACTGCGCGGGAAGAATTATTCTTCACGTGCAGGCGATCTGATTGGTTGGCATAGACCAATCAGTGAGCGAGCTTTGGGAAGACTTAAGAAAGCTTCTGTGATCAGTTTCTCCCAAAAGTGCACAAAACTAACTACATGAAAAAAGCTGCGATTTGTAAATTGTCTATAATAACATAGTGGTGATTAATTAACCAATGAATGCTTGGCGTTGTATGTGATTTGTATTTTTGTATGTATGTCCGTGCATGATAGACTTGCACAACCTCAAACTATTATTCTCACGAATGCAGCAGAATAAAATCTGGAATAATTATAGGATTTTATTTATGAGCACTAAGAATCTGTAGCCCCAATATTTACTTGGAGAAAAAATATACATAGAAGACACCTTTAAAATTTCCAATATCCTTATTTCATCCACAATAAGAAAAATGTACAAAATATATAACTTCAAAAAGGAAAATGACATTAATTACAACAATAACAATAAACTAGATAATATTACCTACCAACACTTAACATCAGTTATCCAAAATAATTCATCCAATCTTAACTATATGAAAATGAATGCCACACTTATTAAAAGAGAAAATAACTTAAATGGAATGTTCTTGAGTTTGCTGCTATCGAATCTTGCCAAAATGTAAATTTCAAATATCTGCTTTCCCAAAAGAAATACTCCTTTCCCAAGTCAACATGCATGACCATAAAATTTTTTTAAAATTAAAAGAAAATAAATACATAAGTAATTAAAATAATGAATAATAATTAAATTAATAAAAATTAAATAAATATCAATAAACAATAATAGTCACTTTCACTAAATTACATCACTTAGCATCTTCCATAGTTTGCCTTGACTTTCAGTTAGCCTTAATATTTTTGAGCATTCATAAATTTAAAATTTTGAAAACATAATATTTTTACTTTTGTTTATATATATGTCGCAAAATAAAATCGTTATATTTGCCTTGATAAAGTCCATTAGGGGATGAAGCATGTTGGTAAAGAATAGTTTTCCTTTAGTCTTATATGACTGGTTACTAATTTTCTGTACAAACCCACCTTCTAGAGTACATAACCAATCCCTGTTGCAGACATCTGCTCAAGCACATTTGTGTTTGTTCAACACCCACAAAGCCCTATGCTGAGTAGACCTTAGTTACAATTTCTAGAAGAGCACATAATCTGGCATGATTAGCAGTAGATTTAAACCCTTGATCACAATCATCATTTGTTTCTATTCAGTTTTGTCTACCTACTTTCCAAAGGTATTGTATACAGGGATCATTTTCATAGACTAATGACATCAAGAATTCACCTTCCTGACAAATCGGCCATGGTGAGATTTGAACCCAGGTCTTATGGTCAGAAAGCAAATATTCTAGCCACTTAGCCATGCACACATTTCTTAAAAAGATATAACAATCTTACCAAGCTACCATATTTTCACCCCTTGGAAATATACACGTATGAAATAGTAACATTCTATCATCATCAATTAATTGTTCTCTTAAGGAAGCTCCTTGGTTTGAACCTCTGTTAGGACTCAGGTTGACCACAAACCTTAAGTAGAACTCGTATATCTGATCCACTAAAAAAAAATTATCTGTTCCTTGTACCACTCATAATTATCTCCCTTTATTCGGATTTTGCACTTTGAATGCTAAACCCTTCATTATTTAGAGTTAGAATTGTCTTGGTTCAGGCTCAGAGCAAGGATTGAGCTATTTCTATTTTCATACCAATATCTCATGTAGGCCTCCGTCAGTCAGGGTTGACCATAGGTATCATCCTAGTTGTCTGCTTGGCTGGAACATCGACGTCTGTGACGGTAGAGGCTGATGCAAGAGTGACAATCTCTGTTGCGGAAGTCGCATGTATGTCCTCTCTCTGGTCTTCTAGAGCTGTCATTTTGCTTTCTGTATGCCCACCTTTCCATGGCAACTTGTGTCAGCTTCTCCTCCCCTGACTTGAGGTGTTTGGTCAGAGTTCCTCTCCATTCAGATCGTATGGCTGCCAATATTTAGAGAGAATGAGACCAATGCCAGCTAATTTTCTCACAGATGAAGAGAAGACTTCAGGCAACAGATGTGATTCTACAGAAAGATGCTGAGAATACCAAGGACAGAACGTATGAGCAACAAGGGAATTTTAGGGAGAATGGTAACAAAAAGGAAACTTGTACTTGTAATTAGGAAGGGACAGTTGAAATTTCTAGAAATAATTAAGAAAGAGGGCTTGGAAAATTTGACACTCACAGGACATATTGAAGGCAAGAGTGGCAGAGTGGAAACGTTGAGTAAACTACCTAATGAACTTGTGTAAATGGATGGCAGAACAGGAATAGTAAGGGGACAATCATTGCTTACAGATAAAAAGGGATTGAAAGTTGTAAAGAGCTATGATGTCCTACAGTCTAAAGGTACACGCAGCACACTGAAGAAGCAACAACTTGTATATGAGAGCAAACATTAGTGAGAAACAAATACATTTTTACCATACAGGAATAAACAGATGTTATATCCAGTGTATAGAAAAAAAGAAACAAGGATTAAAATTTCAATAATTGTGTATTGACCAATTCTCAGAATATCTACATAATACTCAATGCCATTGTGGGAAAAGGACTTTTCACCAGTATGAGGCAGTATGAGTCAGGTGTTGTTGGAAGAGTTGATCCATTTATATTCAAAGTCAAAATTGATGACTGTGTGTATGGGTCAATAGTCATGAATGATGTGATATCATCAAGGTGTTAAGCTGAACTACTCCTTGTCAGCAAGGCATGACATTTTTATAGCTATGTTTTAACACATGCTGGTTATTTTAAATGTGAGTAGAGTTGGTAAGGCCTGGAGTTGGTGCATTTAATGGATCAGTTAACTGAAGTAACAGCCTGATGACAAGGGAGGCCTGGAATGTATTAGTGAAGCTTAATCAAGTGGAAATGTCTCTGTTGGATTCTGGTCGGATGGAAGCGTAAATGAAACTTCAATAACCAGCCTGTGAGGCAGTGTGAAAAGATAGAAAAATTGTTGATATGTGGTTCTTTAGTTGCCATTGGTAAGGGAAGAGATTTGGTGTAAGGGTATTGTTGGTAATGTCTGGAGTTGACAGATTTGTCAAGTCGGTTGACTGAGGTTATGGTGATGATGCTGAGAGAGGCTTGGAATGTGAATCTCGGGGATTGGTGACCAAGGTCATAGTGGTGATAACGAAAGAGTCTTGAAATCTGACTTTACCAATAGAGAAGGTGTAAGCAGAATGTCTGTGGGCATGGTATGGCTGTTTGAAGCAGGTTGGGTTTCAAGCAGGAATGTGTGTTGGGTTGATTGACTGAAATCATGGTGGCAACATCAAGTGCCTGCCAGTGTCGGCAGCTGGCCTGTCAGCCACATTCTGTGTCAGTCGTTCATGAGGTACTTTTTTAAGCAAATCTGATGGCTCCAAGATAAATCTTTTTTTTCTTTGGTGGCAACATTCTTGATTGGCTTCTTTTATATTGTATTTTAGATTTTTGCAGGGATTTATTTTGTGGGTCAGATGTAATGCTTCGAGACCCTGTGTAGAAGACACCTTTGGGGGAGGGGGTTGCTTTCTTAGTCCTCACATTCAGCTGACATGTAGAGTGAATTAGAGATCTAGCAGAGTATAACACAGAGAAAGCTGTTATATCTTTCCTGCTATATGTCCATTTCTCTTACAGATGAAGAAGAAACTTTAAGTGACAGAGATATGTGGTTCTACAGATATATACTGAGAATACCATGAACTGTACATGTGAACAACAAGGAAGTTTTAAAGAAAATGGGGAAATAAAAGGACACATACTTAGAATTAGAAAGAATAAAGAAAGACCGTTTGGAGAACTTAACACTCACAGGGCATACTGAAGGCAAGAGAAGCAGAGGAAAACATTGTGTAACTTAAGGAGAGATAGTAAGGAATCTTACAACCACATCACATTGAATCTCCAGTTCACATATGATGATTGAAGTTAAGCAACATTGAGTCTGGTTAGTACCTAGATGGGTGACCACTTGGGAATACCAAGTGTTGTAAGCTTGAATGTGCAGATGATTTAAGGGATAATGGCATGGAATTTTTAATTGGATAGCTGAGTTCTAATTCCAGTCAGGTTCATTACATTCACTTATGCACAACAAATACCCTTGGGAACAGTATGAATACACCTCTTTTCCCCAACTATGGGTTAATTAGTTAGTCTTGTATCACTAAATCATTATCTCCCCCACAAAATTTCTTACAATATTTTCTTGTTTTAAATAACTTGCAAAGGATTGATAAACTGTAGAAAACAAATCAATCAAATCAGATATTAAGGAGATAAACATTATTTAGAGCTACAGTAAGTAGGAAGCTGTGGAGAGCCATTATCGCCCACATCTTAAAATGACATAGCATATAAGAGTTATTTTCATTACCCTTTTATCCCTTTTCATTAACTTTTACAAAATTGTATTTGTATCGTATTTACTTCCAACAATGTTTAGAAACTTCATTAAGTCTCTTGGTTTATGAGTACCTGTTTAATTCATATGAATAAGTGTTTTACTTCATATTTATTATATATATATTGATCACCCAATACAAGGCCCAAGTGCCACTCAAGGTAGAGGTTTATTGAATGCGGTTGTTGCAGGAACACAAGAGGAGGTAAGAAGTGTAGATTATGAGAATATGTAGGAAAGATAATAGATGGCCCTAAACCCAACAAGATTAAGATTGTAGTGATTGGGAAAGCATCCTCTCAGGAGTGTGTTCCACACAGTAACAGTTATTGGAAAGAAGTTATCCAAATATAACTTCATTAATAAAACAAAGGGAATGAGGCTGATTTGCCCCAGTATACATGTAATGGTTAGACTTAGCTGTGAAGGTCTGAACTGGTAGAACTAATGAATGTAGGTCATCAGAACATTTTCTATGGAAATTACAATAGAGTTGCAAGAGGCTTGAAATGTTTCATCTGTGAAGGTGGAACATTATTAATCACCCACAATGGATGGGTCAGAGAAAATATGCAAAACCAAAAGATTGGTAGATCATTAATCACAATATTTTTGTTTTTCCCAGTACTAAACAAACATAAAAATAACAATTTCTTACTAAACAGCAAATTGAACTTTTTTTTTTTTTCCAGATGAAATATACTGAAGATGTCTTTCCCGGTCATAATGGACCAATTCTGCTGTTATTTTTAAATATCACCTCAGGGCTTGGTCGTCTTGCATTTGGTAAACTAGCTGATGTGCCTGGTGTAAGCAGGATACGCCTACAACAGTTAGCATTCCTTGCATTTGGCGCCACTACAATGTGTATACCATTTGCCAAAAGCTTTGGTGCTCTTATAGGCATCGTCCTGCTTATGGGAATTTGTGATGGAATCTTTATTTGTCTTCTGGGACCAATTGCTTATGATATTGTTGGCCCTGCAGGAGCTTCGCAGGCCATTGGCTTTCTTCTTGGAACATTTTCTCTTCCTCTCATGTGTGGACCACCCATGGCTGGTAAGTAGAATTATATATACTTGTTTGACGGGCACCTTAATGTGGTGTAATGGTTAGAAAACTTGTCTTGCTAGATCAATTATGACTGATTAGTGAGTCCAATCCTTGCTGGGTACCCCATACATTCGACCTTGTGCCACATCTATGCCAGGCTTAGAAAATCACTATGTACTTGTTTGACAAGAACTGAAATTGTTATTAGTCATTTTTCAGGTCACACAATTGGGGAAATAGGCTTCAGTTTGTTTTGAAATATTGAGTTAGTTCTGAATTTCACTATCTGAAGAGAAATTTAAATTTAATATCAAAATTAAAAATATAAATTTTATAGATTTCTTTTTCAAAATTACCTTGAAATGATCAGATGTATCTTCTTTTTAGAATACTAATAAATTTTTAAGATTACAACAGTTTTTAAGCTTAGTAAATTCTTAGTTTTTAATTTTTTTCTTTCAGATCATCTGGAGACATGAATGACTTGTTTAAAATTCTAAATTAAGCAGATATCCAAGATGACCTCCAGTCCATTGTTAACTGGGGCAAAAGTTGACTTATTAACTTTAACACCTCCAAAATTAAACTTCTCTCCATTAATCATCTGAGAGACTCCTCTCTGTCCTCTATCAGCATGACTGCTGCTAACCTACAGGAAAATGATTTTTTGTGCCTTCTCAGACTAACGTTCTCAGCTGACATGAAGTGGAAAGACTATATTGAATCCATTCCTAGGTCAGCTGCCAAGAAAGTATTTTCACTGTGTTATGAGAGACAATTTTTCTCTCCAGAATCTATCTTGTGTATATATATATATATATATATATATATATATATATATATATATATATATATATAAGTCTACTATTCGTCCATGCTTAGAAAATTGATGCCAGATATGGTCCAGTGCCCCTATTATTTACCTAGAGCTTCTTGATAAGATCCAAAGAAGAATCATCTATATTTTTGGTCCTGATCTGGTGGCTTGGCTTCAATCACTTTCCCATTGCCACAAGGTTATCTCTCTGTGTCTTTTCTATAAATACTTTCATGGTAATTGTTCAGATGAGCTCTTCACTATGGTACTAGACTTCATGAATTTAAGCACAGTACTAGACAGGTGTCAAGATCTCATCAACTGACCGTTGAGTTGGCTAGATATAACCAAAAGTTCTGTTAGCACAGAATTTTTCTTTTCTTGCTTTTCTCACTCCTAGAATTCCCTTCCAGCTTCATGCTTTCCAGCCAACTTTAATCTGCGAAAATTTAAATGCTATGTCAATTGCTATCTACTGTCCTTCTGATTATCCTTTTCTCTTTCCACTCATTACCAATGTTTCTGTTCCTAATTCCTCCAAACCTTATAACTCATTGTGTTTTAGTAGCTTTACGGCCTTGCATAGAGTGATACCGATTTTAAAAAATAAATAAGAGGTCGACATAGGAAAAGAAAATGAACTGATAATGTTATTAAATGAACTGGAAGACCATTCACAAAGATTTGAACATTGGCACACATCCAAGATATATGGAGGGAACTTGTCAGGTACTCCACTGCACAATGACCCTTTGACCACACCCAGTCATGGGACTGATGATAATGATGAAAACAAAATAAAACTACTAGAAGTTCACAAAGGTCACTTAAGGAAGGCCAGCTATTCTATGTGGCACAGCAGCCAAACTTTTAGGATGCAAAGAAAAAAACAACAGATGAAACAACATACAATAATTACAACTCCTCATCTGAAAAATTTCTAACTGGAAAATTTATAGTTGTGGAGCTCATCAGAACTAAATTCTCAAATAAATGTCATGCTTAACGTGAAGCCCATTTAGAAATGTCTAAACTATGTACAACTGTTTTCTCAAATCAGTGATTAAAAATGAATGCTCAAGACAAACTTTCATCAGACCCTAAATGGGCACTACAGAATCACAAACAAAGAACTTTACTAAATAATGAATACTTTCAACAATAGCAGCAACTAATATGGATGACATGTATAACTAAAAGGAAAAATAACAATATAATCAGTGTTGACTTTTCATACTTAAACAAAAGGTTAAGAATGAAATTACCATTAGTACTAGAAAGAACAATAACATTTAGTGAACTTGAGCAGCCTGTTTTCCTAAAAAACTGTTTTAAGAGATCAATTTCATAGATTTCAACTGACAGTAACACTAACTGTTCAGTCAATGAATGCTTAATGTTTCCTGCATGGAAATGGTTAATCTTGCCATTATCTTTTTTCTGCAGTACAATAGTTTGAAAATATTGATTTTAAATTTTGCCTCCATTTGAATGGTGAGTGACTATCCAGATCCTGATTGAAATTAGATAATTTTTTCATTGCTTCTCTCATCTACTATTGGTTACATATCTTCTGGCTGTTAATAGGCCAGAGGACATTTATCAGAAAGAAATGATTTACATACTTGAATTGGTTTAAGTCTAGAGTTATCCATTTTTAAAAATACATTTGAAAGTCGTTTGCATTTTTGATCAAATAATGCAGCCACATTGACATCTCTCTCAGAAGTTAGAATTATCAGTGCTTTATTCATAAATTAATCTTAGATAATTATGTCTGGTTCACACTCATTCCCAGTTTTTTGAACAGGAGTAGAGGTTTGTTCCTTGATTAAGATTGGGTTTCTGGTTCCTTCTAAAGTATTTTCATTCTCTTTGACTTCCAGTAGCCCCTTGTCTTGCTTGGGGTGAATTGATTAAAAAAAAGAAGCAAATAGAGGATTTGACTCGTTTTGATCAAATAGTTATTCACTTGATTTAATTTGGCAAAAAGCCACAACTATGGGGTGCCTAGTGAGGATTGAACTCACTAGTAATGGTCAACCATACTGGTCTAGTTTGCTAACCATTATCCTACTCTGTAGCTATTGTTGAATGTTTTCAAGTGATGTGGTTTCTGCTATTTTGTACAGTTTTTTGTTTGTGATTCTGTAGCACCAGGCTGTAGACTTGAAGATTGGTCCTTGCTAAGGCTTACAGGCTTTATTTGTTTGAAGTCATAAGGGATCAAAAATGAAATGCAACAAAATTAAGATGAAAGTAAAATTAGGCAAACATTAATAATATCAATGATTCATCAAAGAAATTCAAACAAATTAAACTATTACATCTATTGCTACTAGAGCTAAACAAACAATACAGAATAAATTCAATAAATATAAATGTAATTGTATCACAAAATTTGAATGATATCCATTGATTGCCTTCTGTAGCCTAAGTGGTAAAGCACTGCCCATGTAAGACATGCTTATAAGGGTATAGGATGCATATTCAAATCTGCTTACTTACCAGCTATAGAATGTAATTTTTTTTTACTATTGTTCACTTATTACAAAACCCAAGAGCCACTCAGTGTAGAGGGTTATTAATTGAAATTGTTGTAAGGGTTTCTTGGAAGGAAGCAAAAAGTGCATCTTATGATGATATGTAGGATCAGGTTTGACCCCTTGAAGATGTCCATATAGTCAGACTGTAGACCCACTTTAATAGATGGAGAACCCCAGGTCTACTTTTTGTATGGGTAATCTGGGTTTAACTGTACTCTTTGTGATAGTTTTTGTCATATTTTGAAAAATTTTTTTGAACTCACTAGTAATGGTCAACCATACTGGTCTAGTTTGCTAACCATTATCCTACTCTGTAGCTATTGTTGAATGTTTTCAAGTGATGTGGTTTCTGCTATTTTGTACATTTTTTTTTGTTTGTGATTCTGTAGCACCAGGCTGTAGACTTGAAGATTGGTCCTTGCTAAGGCTTTTTTTTTTTTTTTTTACAATGATGTTCACCATGTGAGCCAAGAGCCACTCGAAGTAGAGGATTAGAGAGTAAGAGGCACCATCCCAAGGAAGATGACAATGCCAAAAAGATGCAAGGTGTCACTGGAAGTGAAAGAAAAGGAAAACATTTTAGAAGAAACCAGAAAACCAATTCTAAACAGGGAACAAGGGATAAACCTCTACTCCTGTTCAAAAGACTGGGGAGGAATGTGAACTGGATGATAGGCAAATCTAATTGCTCTTATTGAGGAAAAATATGTAAATAGTAAATAAAAGTTCAGAGTTTTAGGCAGAGACATTAGAAGTATAGGGTTAAAGTAGATTTTAGATGGAACTGGAAAACCAATCCTAAACAGGAAACCAGGGATAAACCTCTGCTCCTATTCAAAAGACCGGGGAGGAGTGTTAACTGGATGGAGGAAACAAATCTAGATAGTTAAACAGTAACACCCCAAGTGGTACATATAAAAAAAAGATCTACTTGGATTAATTGCCAGAAAGAAAATTTGTAACTTTACACTTCATCATTGCATTGAGAGGACTCCACCAGGGACTATTGCAAAGTCCAGATCACATTCACCAAAATGGCAATACAGTAGCCCTGATATCATGCACCTGCTGATAGGATAGCCTCTTTAGGAGTTATTCTAAGGTTTGGATCTTTGTCAGATAACGCCAGACCAGAAAAGTGTTTACTTTCAGCACCCTTAGTGAAGAGACAAATAATCCAAGATTGAGAAGAGATTATCAGCATACCTCCCAAAGTGAAACCATGATATTTACTCAGAGATCAAGACAGAGAACTTCTCGAGCCATAAACATCATGCCTGATTTGGGAAGAATAAAGGCCCCACTAGGAGAATGGATTACAAAGGCTGTTTGGGGAAGACGCAATTATTGCAACAAAAAGCAACAATAATAAGATGATAGGAAAATTACTCAAAGCCTAATAAATGTTATTCTTCTTTGAGACATGTTTCATTTTATTGCTGTTGTGTTCTTGTATTTTTCAGGTCTTATGTATGACCACATGAAAACCTACAACATTGCCTTCCATGTTGCAGGGACTCCTCCTATTCTTGGATCTTTGCTTATGTTTTTCATACCAAAAGTTAAACAGGTAAATCATTTTCTTCATTTTTACTCAAGTCATAATGAAATTACCTTGGGAAAGAATAATTGATTGAGGCTTACTTTGTATTGAAAGTATTTTTGTTTTTAATCTAAACCACTTTACCTGTAAAAATCCTGTTCCTCAGTGTAAGTATTGAGCTTCAGTAATCTATCATTCATATAAATATGTTTATGGAATTTTTAAAATATTGATCAAGAAATATATAAAATAGTTACATATGTATTTTGATGTTAATTTGCTGGAAACAATTCACTGGCAATTAATGTTCTTTTCATTTAACAAAAAAAGCAAACTTCAAATTTCATTAAAAAATATATAAAAAAATATATTTTGACAGTAATATGTTATTAAACTGGTATTCAAATAAAAACAGTTTTATTTATTAAATGACCAATTGTTATATTAATGTCTAAACAAACTTCTTGTTAATTATGCTTTTATTTATAAATACATAATCATATTTTAACAATATTTTCTAAATGTTACCAGGAATTTAATATCTGCCAACAAATTTATTTTTAGGATCATTTTAAAATCTTTTCAAAGTAAACTAATTAGAATTGAATTGTTCTGTTATTTTAATTAAGATGCTGACCTTGTGCAGTCAACATTGGAATTTATTCTATTTTAACCATTATCTGCTAATTAATGTAACTCCTGTGTTAGGTTTTTGCATTAAAAAAAATGATGAAAACAGAACATCTTCATTCTATGTTTTAAAATGACTTTATTTTCACACAAATCAATGTATATGTGAAACAGGATATTTAATAAATGCAATATATACTTGTGTTAAAATAAAATGTTTCAAAAGAATAATACCCTATTATAAGACATGTTATCTTGTCTATAGTATCTTGCTAAGATTAATTTGATTTATAGCAGCAAACTGGTTAATAACAATGGAAGAAATTATTATGGTTAATAACAATGCAAGAAACTATTCCATAATCTTGAATGTTGATAGAAAAAAGCTTTGGTGAATAAAATAGTTATCATGACAACTAAATAGTCAAAATGAATAACAGCTAAAACTACAAAGACAAGAAAAGGAGTTCAAATCAAAGTAAAACAAATTAAAAAAACTCAATCTAGCAAAATTCAGGCAAAAGTTAACCCAACTTTTTTTCTTTTTTTTTTTTTTTTTTTTTTTTTTCGGTATCACCCCAAGCAGGGCAGTAATGCCACTAAAACACAAGGGGTTACAGGGTATGGAAGAATTAGGAACAGAAACATTAATAATGAGTGGAAAGAGAAGAGAGTAATCAGGAGGACAGTAGATAGTGATTGACATCACATTTAAATTTTTGCAGCAAGAAGTGTAAGAGAAGAAACTGTTAGCATAGAATTTAGAACTAATACATCCAGATTAATTGATGAGATCTCACCACCAGTCTAGTGCTGTGCTTAAATTCAAAGACTCTAGGTACCATAACAAATAACTTATCTGGACAATTACAATGAAAGTATTTATTGAAAAGACATAGAGAGGCAAGCATATGATGGTGGGAGCTGAGCCACCAGATCAGGACCAATTGCTGATTCTTCTTTGAAAATGTCTCATTTTAAGAACATGCTTGTTCCTCAATTTTTTTATTTTTTTATTTCTCAAACTTTAATTTATCTCCTTTTAGTTAGCTATTGAGACATCAACGCTGTAAATCATCTGTTGGCATTTCTTGTAAAGAAAGAAAAAAAATATTGATGAAAATTCTTCATTGAACATTTAAAACAGTTTTATTTTCATAAAAATTCATCAATATATACACCAGAATATTTAATAGATGTAGTGTTTTAATCCTTAAATGGCATGAAAATGTTGTACAAATATGCATGCAAAATGGGTAAAAAAATAAAGAAATTAACCTTTCTAAAGCATGATTTTCACTTGAATTATATACTAAATTATACTATAAATTATATACTAAGCTATAAAACAATATTTTAAATCTTTTAAAAATGGAGAAAATAAAATAAATTGAATACTTTTTAAAGATTTTAACTCCTTGAAGACTTCTATGCACAACAGTTTCACATTCTTTGATATACCTTGGAGCATTTTTAATAGCAGGACATTCCTTGGGGCATTTCAAGCACAATGGTGTTGTGAATTCTTTTCACCAAATTGCCACTATTTTTGCCTCCGTATTTTTTTTTCTTCAAGGTGTATGCATGCCAATATAGCAATGTCCTTGGCTTACCGTAACCTCATGAATTGCCAATTAGTTTTGCCAGCATCACTGAAAAAAGATTAAAGCATCAATTGATCAATATCAATTGATGATATCCACTAATCTATATTTTGAAAGAACTGATTCTTTGTCCATCACACACTGTCTGCTTGTAACTTTGCATGTGCACATTTAATATATCTGTATATGTCAATGTTGTGTTTGAGTGACTTATGAACGTTTCTGCCATTTAATATACGCATAAGCACATTCACACACAATTTGACTGAGTTTGAAATAAGACATTGAAATTATACATTCCTTTTACACTCAATCTGAACAAACCCTACACTGGGCTGAGAAATAAAATTATAAATTTGAGACATGAAAAAGAAGTTAATCTTTTTAAACATTAATCTTTTAATTACCATATTTTATGGCTTATAAAAAAACACAGTGGCTTGGAAGATACACCCTAATATTGGAAAGAAATTTCTAAGAAAAAACAAGTCATTCTCATACAACAACACATTCACCATGTGACCCTCACATATTGACGCCACATGTTGTTTACATTAATCAACTCATCCGATTTTGTTTCTATGGCAATGACATACTTGTCAAGATCAGAAAGGCTCCTGCTGCTACTAGTAAACATATAATGTTTAAGCTTGTGGCTTGGCTCCAGGAAGGTTTACAGTCTTGGAAATACTTGTAACAGCTAGGTACTGAGGTTACATCATATAAAAGGCTGAATTAGATAGCTAACATTATAGTGTAATGACGCAACATACAAATCCATGTCCCAGTCAGTCAAGCCAATTAGGTGACTGTTCAAGCTTATTTGAGCCTCAGTGTTGCCTTACATTCATCTAGGAAGAAGCACACTTACTTTTCTGGGTATTTTTTAGGTAAAAAAAGTGCATGTTGTAAGCCAGAAAATCAATTTCAATTAAAATTTTCAATGAAAAAATAATTTTAAAAATGAATCTTTTAAATATTAAAAAAAAATGTTTTATTGAACTTTTATTAAATTATTTGGCAACAGAATTATTTTTAAATTTTTTCTTAAAAATATTATAGAAATATTTTTAAGTCTGTCATAGAACATGTAGACATGCAAATAAATGAAAATGCTAATTTCCCTTTGTTTAGCAACAAGTTCTAGATAACAGGAAAAAGATATAAAACAGCCTTTTGAAATCATTTTTTATGACTCTTTCTGTATTTAAACTAAATGTTATTTCCTAATATAGTTGTTTAAATAGTAAAACAATTTAGATTTGAAATCTGAACATCTTGCCATCAGCAAAGCAACAGGTTCTAAACTAGTCTGCAATAAAACAACTGATGATGTCTACTCTTTAAGAGTTAAAATATTTGAATAATTTAAACAAGTATCCTACATGAATCTCTGTATAAAACACAAATTTGTGCAAAATAAATATACGAAATTACTTTGTTTGCTCAGATGCTGCCATCTTGTAAAAGAATAGTACATTATCATGAGGCAATAAACTAGTAATTTACTAAGACTTGCTATCTCGTCTATGTCAGTGAACAGGTTAATAGCTTAGTTTGGTCTGTACCAACACCATAATTATGGAGTAACTAGTAAAGTACAAAGTAAGACAAAATCACAATTTCATTCATTTCCTATTTTTTTTTTTTTATACTTGAATCCAAATATTTATTGTTAAGATTCTTCCAATTAGAAATCTAATTGGAAGAATCATGATTCATTAAATAAAATATACAAATATCATGTCAAAAGTAGATTTTTTTTCTCAGTATATTTTATAGGGTAAAATATTGAAATAAAAAGTCTTCATGTGTTTAAATATTAAAATAGAAAGTCTTTATTGTTTAAAATTATATTGAAATAGAAAGGTTTTATGCATTTAAAATGATTTAATTTTCATGCAAATCATTTAGTACACATGAATATCTAATAAGCATTATATAAATGTATTAAAACATTTCACTGATTTAAATAGGTGTGAAAAAAATACAAAGTACATAGTTGTGCAAGCATTCACAAGTTGTCATATAAATATTAATAAATAAAATCTGTTTGCACAGATACTGCCATCTTGTAGTAAAGGTGTAACACATTATCATGATGTTCTTATCTGTGGCAATAAGCTAATAATTTACTAAGACTATTTCATTTATGGCAGTGAACAGGTGGTTAATAATTTAGTTTGGTAAGTACCAAAATATGTCATACGAATAAATAAAAATTTCTTTGTTTGCATAAAGAGATAATACCATCTTGCAAAAAAAAAAAATGATGCACTATCATGAGAGGTGTTATCTCATCTGTGGTCCTAAATTAACAACTTGCTGAGTTCTCTCTCCTGTGACAGTGAACAGATTAAGAAAGTGTAAAAAATGTTTTGTTGTAAATTGCCTTAAAGCATACGGACTGCTTATCACCCTTCCCAGATTTGTCACTTCCAATTAGCAACTGATTTGTATTGAATAAGAAAAGAAAAATTAGTCTTACAAAAAAAAAAAAAGATAAGTAGTTGATGTGTAAGGTTAGGTTAATAATTCTGTTACCTCAACAAATGAATTTTGATCTTAAATCTTCATTGTATAATGCTTGATTGATGTAATTAATATTTACCATTGAATTAAGTGTATTGACAAGGAAGAGATAAATATTTGGGAAAAATAAATGCTTTTTATCATGTTGATTTATTGATGTATCTGTAATAATATTTAATTATTTAGAATGAAGCATTATCTATTATTAATTACTTACTAATATTTTTTCCATCTTATTTTCATTTGCTTTTTATCACAACT